ATGCCATCCTGTTTAAAATGTGTTAACATTTTAAGACCTCAAAGACAAATTTCAGACATTTTAGGGCTAATTAAGACCTTACTTTTGAATTGATGATTTTAATGTCTTTTAAGAGTTTAAGGATCTGTGTGAACCTGGATTTGTTTTTAAAACATCTCACTACTGATGCATTATTTGTGTTGGTGTGTCAGTAAATCCCAGAGAAACACCTGAAGGTTGTTGTTTGAAACGTGACAAACTGATCAACTAGTTAATGGTTACCAGTGTCAGGGCTTTACTCCTCACCTCAACGCAGCCTCCTGGCTTCTCTCTCAGACTCCAGAAGAGTCAGAACATCTCCTTCTCTGACCGGACCCTTCACATTTCTGATGATGGACCGGTTACTGTCGTCCATGAACTCCACACGCACCTGAACAGGAAACACACAACAACACTCATTCTGCAGTGGGAACCATTTCATCTGTAATAATCTGCTCCAGATTATGTCGAAACCAGAGTTCAGGCTTTACAAGTGAAACAAAAGACAGGAGACGTCTTGAATTAAAACTGAACACACACACACACCTGTGTGTCTTTACTTAACTCTTCACCACAACATGTCCTGTTCTGATCATGAGGTCATTTAACCCAACATTAATATCTGACCCACATCAGGTCTGATCAGGACCCACATCAGGTCTGACCAGGACCCACATCAGGTCTGATCAGGACCCACATCAGGTCTGATCCGGACCCACATCAGGTCTGATCCGGACCCACATCAGGTCTGATCAGGACCAGTGGAGCACTGGGCCAGTCTTAAGGTCTTGTATGTGATCAGTTGACAACACAACGTGTGTGTGAGGGAACATCTGAACAACATTTAACCCTGGCTCTGCTCCCCTTCATCAGAAGACAGGTAATAACGTGTCCCGGCTAACAGCGAGCCGAGGCTAACCATGCTAACATACCTGTGTGCACTGCCCCTGGGAACCGGTTCGACCCAGCACCTTGGTGACCTACACAAACAAACAAGGGTTACAACAACATACATTACATTTTAAAAACACGTGTCCCGGTAAAACCATGAAGAAAAAACAAATAAGACAAAGAGCTAGCTGCTAACAGCGGCTAGCATCAAGGCCGCCTCTCCGTAATGGAAGCGCGAAGATGTTTGTAACCTTAAAAAGTCCACTTGTTTTTTTAAAGTGGGACTAAATACAGCAGGACTGACTCTGTAACTGTTTATACAGGAACTAATCATTTACTGACGACTCTGAAGGACTTTCTTACTCTGGCAAGCTTGATCGGCTGCACGCGGCTGGCGTCCATGTTGTGAGATTTCACAGGAAAGGACGTCACGTGGTGCGTGGAGGGAATATCTTCTTCTTCTTCTTCTTCT